GAGAAACACCTAACAGACCTTTTGGAGGATGGAGCAATGATTTTGTATGTAAGGGGCTACCGTTAAATATATAATCAAAATTCTTTACGAACCTTTGGAAATCATATAACTAATCAAATCCCAATACATCAGGATTTTTAGACAGCATACTATAAAATTTAAACTCACATTAAGCTATTTTTTTCTTTTCTTTTTTCTTTCTTTTTTTCCAGTTTTTGTCTGGGGCTGGGTTTGAACCCGCCACCTCCGGTATATGGGGCTGGTGCCCTACTCCTTTGAGCCACAGGCACTGCCCTTTTCTTTCTTTCTTTCTTTCTTTTCTTTCTTTTCTTTCTTTTCTTTCTTTCTTTTTTTTGAGACATAGTCTCACCCTGTGCCCTAGGGTAGAGTGCTATGGCATCCTAGCTCACAGCAACCTCAAACTCTTGGCTCAAGTGATCCTCTTGCCCCAGCCTTCAGAGTAGCTAGGGTTACAGGTGATCGTTACCACGCCCAGCTACTTTTTTCTATTTTTAGTAGAGACAGGGTCTCGATTTTGCCCAGGCTGGTCTGAACTCCTGAGCTCAGGTGATCCACCTTCCTCGGCCTCCAGGGTGCTAGGATTTCATCAGTGAGCCACCGTGCCCTGCTTCATGTTAAGGTTTGCATTATGACTTTCTTACATTATTTTAGATAAGCTTTGATGAATTTTTGGCACTGCATCAATTTTTCATAATTCTAAGGCCCATTCCTAGGTGCCCAAAAATACAGGATTGGGGCAGAGCACCTGGGGTGGTGGCTGAGTCCAGCCTATAGCCCTGCCATCCTCATTGACAGATTTTTCTGGTCCCTATTTTGCTTCTCATCATATGTGTTTGTCCTGTCACTTGCAGTTTCTTCTCTTTCTCAGTCCTAGGGTATCTGAAGGCAGAAATCGTTACTCCAGAACATAGAACTGGCAGAGCTTAAAATCTGACCGGTTACCTCACTCCCCAAAATACCCACCTCAGTGACTCTGCATCTATGTAAGAATTAGAAATTAGTACTTCTCTTCCTTCCTGTTTTTATTAATCAATTTCCAATTGGTAACTAGCATTCCTAATTTAGAATTAAAATAATTCCAGCCCAGTGCGAAGAAACTTGGTATTTTTCCTTTCCGGGACAGCTGTATCTTGAGTAAAAAGTCCTGAATTCAGTGCAGCTTTTTGAAATGTTGAAACTGGCTTGTGGACTTCAGTCATCTCCGAGCCCAGCCTGGGAACTACCGCGTGCGGGATGATAAGAGACAGCTGAGGTCATCTCCTTGGAAGCCTTTGAGTTTCGGATTGATAAACACATCTAAGCTGCTCAGTGTCAGTCCTCACGGGTTGAACTTCAGCCAAACCACTCAAGGAGACTTGTGCAGCTTTGTTCAGTGTCTGAAGCCAGCATTTTCCTCACTTGAATAAGGTTTTCTTCCAAGTAGTTCAGTAGGAATGAAATACAGCTCATCCTGCCAGCAGTCCCCCAGACGGCCTAACCCCATGCTGCTCTGGGCAGGCACTGATGCCTCTCTATTCATTCTGAGCTGGAGATCCGCCTGCAGGCCACTGTGGTGCCCGCCTGGCTGAGTGTGTGTGGGGGGGGGGGAGCAGGGGAGAAAGGGCAAAATGGGGTGTTTGAGAGTAGGCCTATACTGATCCTGTACTTTTTTCTTTCTAAATAAAAGAAAAAAAGATGATTGCCTTTAGCTCTGTTGATAGACTATGGGTCTAGGGCAGGTCCCTGATGTGTCGCACATAGAAAAAGATTTGGTTATGATTTGTACCAGAGTCTAGGTTGTGCTGTCACTAATCAAGATTAGATTGAGAAGGCTTTTTGCCTTTTTTTCACCATACTGACATCTCAGAGAAACAGGACCTTTGAAAGTGAAGGTGGTGTGTGTGTTCATGGACTTGCTCTCTGGAGCAGCCTAACACAGCCCCTGCCTGATTTGGGAGGTTGGAGCAGGCCTCCTGGGGTGGCAGATACCCAGACAGATGGCAGGAACAGACGTTATTTGCCAGGTGTCAAGGTTCTTCCCCGTCTCTGGTGATCTTTGCCAGAAAGAGCACTCTGGCTTTAACTTCAGACAAACGTGCCTTCAAATTCTGGCTGGGGGACATCTGGTGGTTTGTTTGCTGAGCTGAATGGTGGGGTTTAACCCTGAGGGTTGCTTGTGAAGGGTGATGAGGCCAAGGGAGAGGCAAAGCTGCGGGGAGGGTTTCACTGTGACCCGTGCGTGTTCCTCTCCTGCCCGTCTCTGTTCCTGTCAGTCTGTAAGTAGGACAGGTGAGGTCCCCTGAGCTTTCTGAAGGCTGACTTCATCCTTTTGATGATTTCAGTTGTCTGGGCAAATAGGCCAGCTCTAAGGCTGGTAGAGGGACAGTGTGCAGAGATATTGTGTCTACAAGACACTGGCCTTGGACTCCTGTTAGTCATGGGCCTCAGCACTTGACCTTCCTCTCAGACTCGGAAATAGAGAAGGACCAGCAGAAGAATTGTACCCAGCATTGGCAGGGGCTAGAATGTAGAAGGGGCTAGCACAGCTTGCACGGGGGTGTCTTGGTGGCCAGCCCTGCATCTGGGACAGGCAAGGTGACCTGTGTGTGCCATTATACTTGCCTGGTGCTGCCTTTGAACACCTCTGAAAAGACTGCAGGAAGCCTCAGGTTGTGGCTTTAATTGAAAGAAAAGAAAAACTCAAAAGTTACAGAGAATTCAGATCAATCTATTGGATTTTGCAGTAGTAAAATTTTGTATTATTGATGATCCAAGTTAAAGTGAAAAGATATCTATACTCGTTGCTTTCTGGCCCTTAACACCCCCCCCCCTTTTAAAAAATTTCTATGGAGAGATGCACATAGTGGTAGTAGAGGATTTTTAAAGAAAAGTGCCCACCCTTCCATATATTCCTATCTGCCTGCACCTGGCTGGGTAGAAAAATCCTTGTATGAATTCTTGGTGAGGGCCTTGGTGAGGCCCATACTCCAGGTGAGCTTGTGGGTGTTTATCTTGCAGGCTGATACAGGATTTTGTGCAGAAGTGTGTGTTTTCCTGGTGGATTGAGATCACAGGCTGTAATTAAGACTTGATTTGAAATGTTCTTCCTTAACAGAGGTTTTAAATAAGGCAACAGTTCCACATTAAACGCAAGCAGTGGGCAGACTTCATTTAAACCTGTAAAGAGGGAGGTTTTGATCACTGTGTTTATTTAAGGTGCATGCTTCATGCATTGACAGTTTGCCAATGGAGTGCTTTTCTCAAGGAAAGCACTGAAACCTTCATTTTTCACACTTGAATCCCAGATGGCCACTGGCACCTTTAAATGGATTTTAAACAGCTCCACTTTCGTTGGCATGATTCCATTAGTTCCCGGCCCTGCTCCCTTCTGTCTGGTCTTCCCTGTGCTGATTCTGCTTGCAGGCACTGTGTTCAGACTTGTCCACTACTCGGAGTATCAAAGGACTTTGGTTCCAAATCCAGTTTTTTGCTCTTTTGCTTGGGGCTAGCTGATAAGCTCCTTGAAGCACTGGGCCTCTTGGAGTGATGGGTGTCTGTTTTGTGTGCAGAAGAGACTAGCGGTGTGCAAAGACCACTCACTGGAATTGATGTTTTACCTGAGTGAGTTCCTAACTCTTAAAGTTTATTAAGGAAAACCTTTTGTGTCCCTGAGAAAGTCAACATCTCGTTTTGGTATTAGTATCTGTCCTGGAAGGTTATTGGAAAGATTAAATGGTCCCGAGGAGCATGCCGTGTACACTGAGGGAGGCCCGAATCAAGACAGTCCATACAGCTGTACAAACACCTCCCCAGCGTGGCCTAGAGAAGTCTGACTCCAGGCAAATTCCCTCTCCACTTAAAACTTTTAAAATACAACGTATTTCTAGAATACCCATGAAAATACAATTACACACATGGTGCTCAGGGGCACGGCTGCCCCGGAATTCACCTTGCGTTGGTGGCCGCCTTCAGTAGGTGGTGTGGACAGGGTCAGTAACGTCAGTGGGAGAAACAAGAACCCTCAGTTGAGACCTGAGTCCAGTCCTGACATTTCCATTTCGAGCAAACTTGTAGTTTCATTGTAAACACTTAACAGAGAGAAGGGTGATTTTCCTGGTGTGTGCTTAACATCTTCTGGCCCAGATCTAGCATTCCCGTTGTGACCAGTCATCACCTTGCCCTTGCAATAAATCGTATATATTTTAAAATCTTGCAGCCTTTAAAATAATGCTAGAGAATACATAAAGAGGAATTAATTTTAAATCAAAATTTATGAACTTGCCTTATAACATTTTTATGATAGGCCTATTGAATTATCTTTTTTCTATTTTACTAAAATAGAATTCGATTTTTTTCTAAGGGGTATTTAACATTTTGGATCATAATCATGCGAGGGATGAATTAATAGATCTTCTCTGAGTGAACTGTCAAGACAGATCCCCACTGGGTTTGAAATGTGATTAAAAATGTCATTGAACTCAGAGTCCACAGAGTGCTTCAGGGTCCCCTCAGAAAGGTTAGTTGGAGACTGAAAATATTTGCAGCAGCAAGCTCTCCACAACTTCTCTGGTTTAGGAGTGTTAATCTCTGATTTCCTAGGTAGGGACTCGGGGATGTTTTTGGCCTCAGGTGATGGGTCCAGTATGGTGGCCTCTCTGAGTAGATGGCCAGTGCCGGAGACCTCCAAGAGAGGCATGGGTCTCTAAACAGCGGTGCTCTCTGCAGTTCTTCCTAATTAAGCTGACAACTCTTGTCCTTCCCTCTGGCAACCTCCCTGTCTATCTTCCCACCTTCAAAAGGTGTGGGTTGTTGCTGGGAGGAGGAGGACTAGAAGGGACTCAAAAGCTCAGTTCCCTGAATTAATGCCAGCTGTCCCCAAAGTGTGTGGGTGCTCACCAGCTCCCCTGTAGTGCTTGCCAGGGAATGGTAGGTGGGCAAGGTAGGTGGAGGTCTTCAGACACAAAGTATCTTTTTTTCTAGGGTGTATTGAAAATGTTGGGTTCAGTGCTCACTTCATTAGAAATACGCTAAGATTGGAAAGTACAGAGAAGATTTGCACGGCCTTTGTGCAAGGATGACATGCAACTTCGTGAATCGTTCCATGTTTTTAGCAATCTAAGTGCCCATCAGCCTATGAATAGATTAACAAACTGTGGTACATGTATACCATGGAGTATATTCAGCCATAAAAAAGATAGAGACTATATCTTTTGTGTTTACCTGGAGTTGAAACACATTCTTCTTAGGAAAGTATTTCAAAAGTGGAAAAAATATATCCAGTGTACTCAGTACTAATATGAAACCAATATATAAACAACTACTTGGCCACATGAAAGAAAAACACAAGTAATGAGGGGAGAAGAGGAAAAGAGGGAGAGGGGAGAGGATGGTGATTGGCGATTGGTGGGCCCTCACCGAATGTGCGCAGTGTGAGGGTTTCAACTACAACTTGAACTTTACCTTAGAAATGAAAACAACGTAACTTAAACATCTGTACCTTCATAATTAATCTGAAATTTAAAAAAATGTTGGTTCCAGGCAAATCACCAGTGATTTTTTAGAGTGGTTGCTAAAGTCAAGCAAGCCAGCATACCTAGATCGATGCTTCTTTTTGTGTTTTTTTTAGATTTCATGTGTTCCTCTTGTACGAGTGATGTCCCAGATTATAATTCTCTGCTGAGATCTGAGCTGGATTTGAGAATTTGGAGAGTTCCTGCAGCTTTGTAACTTCAGAGGTGTGATCAGCTGAAAAATTCATCTTTTTGAAGAGTTCTGCGTTTTGCCAGTCACCTCTCATACCTGTGTGCCAAAGGTAAGTCTGCAGGGTTCTGCTCGAAATCAGAAGAAGGAGTTGCCGGGTTTGCCTCACGTGCCTCATTTGGACAGTAGGTTTTGGAAGAGTAAAATGGCAGTGGCAAAAAATGTAGCCCTGAGTTATTGAACCCCATGAAATTTAAGCTTTCAGGGGCCCCGATTCAAAATTAAATTATCCATGTTCCTGCTTTATAGCAAGTGATGGTTTTGGCAGGAGGTAGGCAGAGTGGTGGGCAGGGATAAACCTATGAGATGGTGTGACGCTCAGCAAATCCTGCCCGGTGCACAGTTCTTGAATATGTGCTGGGTCAGCCCTCTGACCAGCTGTACAGGGCAGGGAGTACAAAGATAACTAAGAATTGCTTTGGGGGTGCTTTCAGTCTAGCAAAGGTTTGATTCCAGCCTTGATGCTAAGAAGATAAGTCTACATTACAACAGTTGCAAATAGATACAGGATTCTCAGAAAGGTTTTAGGTGTTTGTATAAAAAATATGCTCCCATGTACTACCTGCTTGCCTAACAATTGTAACTAATGCAGCATGTGGCTTCTGGGATCTAGAAGTACTATAAGAACAGATAGTGGACAAAAGTATGTCACTGTGTAACAGAAATATGTCTTAGCCTTAACAAATAGTTTGGGCCATTTGATTTTTTGTGGGGGGGACAGACTCTCAATGTCGCCCTTGGTAGAGTGCAATGGCGTCACAGCTCACAGCATCCTCAAACTCTTGGGCTTAAGTGATTCTCTAGCCTCCACTTCCCAAGTAGCTGGGACTACAGGCACTTGCCACAATGTCTGGGTAGTTTTTGTTTTTGTTTTTGTTTTTTTTTTTTAAGAATAACATATCTAGGCACATACACAGACATGCCTCATGCTTTGCTTTATTGTACTTCACAGATAATGCATTTTTTACAAGTTGAAGATTTGTGGCAACTCTGCATTGAGCAAATCTACTGGCATCATTTTTCTTTTTCTTTTTTTTTTTTATTAGATCATCATTGTGTGCATTAATTCTCTAATAGGATACAGTGTGTTACTTCTATATGCAGTTTGGAAAACTCTCATCCAGGTGGCCAACATAGCCATCATGTCTTTCTCATAATTGTTATGCTAAGACATTTATATTCAACCTTTAGACAAATTCACCTGTACCCAAATAGAATAAACTATAGGCATGATCCCCACAATATCATTCTCTTCACCCACCCTCCCCCTCCCCTATGTCTGGGTAGTTTTATTTTATTTTATTTTTTTAATTTTTAGTAGAGATGGGGGATTTACTCTTGCTCAGCTCCCAGGTTGATCTGAACCCCTGAGCTCAGGCAGTCCACCCACCTTAGCCCCCCAGAGTGCTAGGATTATAGGCAGGAGCTACCACACCTGGCCTCGGGCCATTTAATTGAAGATACGATTTACTGTCAATGATCCACTTAATTTTGGTGTTCTGTCTCACCTGGCAGTGGAAAGTGCTTTATAACAAGGTATAGCTTCACCTCCAGAGCATTGTCTCAGAAGGACCTGCAGGAATAACACCCAGTATGCTAACTCTCTTTAAAAACCATAAATTTGCTTCTACTATTTACAGACTGTTTTAAAGTATTCTTAAATCTGTAATGGTGGACTGTGAAATCTCTTGGTATGATGGTTTCTGTAAATTTACTACTTTAATATAAATTAAAATTTCCTTTTACTTGGTCTACTATTTCTACCAAAAAAACTTCATGAATATGCTCTTTCTCCTTGCCCATTTAAAAAAAAAAATCTTTGGGACTTTTCTTTTTTTGAGTTGGAGTCTCACTCCGTCAACCTGGGTAGAGTGCTATGGTGCCATTGTAGCTCACAGCAACCTCAAACTATTGGGGTCAAGTGATCCTCGTGCCTCAGCCTCCCAAGTAGCAAGAATATAGATGTCTGCCACCATGCCCAGCTAGTTTTTCTATTTTTTTCTTTCTTTTTTTTCTTTTTGCAGTTTTTGACTGGGGCCACGCTTGAACCTGCCCCCGATATGTGGGGCCATTGCCCCACTCCTTTGAGCCACAGGCACCACTCTAGTTTTTCTATTTTTTAGTAGAGATGGGGTCTCACTCTTTCTTAGACTGGTCTCAAACTCCTGAGCTCAAGTGATCTACCCGCTTTTGCCTCCCAGAGTGCTAGGATTATATGGATAAGCCACCAAACCTGGCCTTTTGAAACATTTTTAATTTTAGTTATTCTTCCTTTTGAAGTATGACATTTATAACAATATCAAATTAATATGTAGTATTTCATAAGGATGGGATTAAGTGTCTTGGTGTTTTTGCCTTGTTATCCTTTATGATTCTTTTGGAGAAAATAACACATGGTTCTATCTAAAGAGAGAGATGTTCATTATGATTTCAGGAGGTGGGTCCTCGTGTGGAATGAAGAGCTTGGCGTTCATATTTGGCAGCCTGGTTCCATACCCTCCACCTTTCTCCCTCCCCTACACCGTAAGGTCCTGGCCCTGCCTGCCTCTGGGTGTTTTGGGCCCTGGTGGTTCTAAATCCCCTCCCGCATTCATGGGGCATTCCCATTTCTCTGTTCTAGACTTGTGCAAGACAAGCACCATTGGCGTGTTTCCATTCCTGTCCTAGGAGATTTTTGTTACATAAGAACACTTCTCAAGCCCAGGATAACTCCTTTTAAAAAAAAGTCATTGAAGTGGAACCTTTTTAGACTGAGTCATTTGCAAATGTAGTCACATATCAATCCGTTTGTCAGGTTTCAAGGGAATGGAATATAAGCCAGAAATTACAGATTCTCAGATCTGATTATCAGAATTTATTAATAATTCATTAGTATTAGAATCTGACACTACTTCTTTAGAAGGTTCTTGATCATCAGTGACTTTAACAGCCCTGATGTTGTTACTGGTTTCGTTCAGAAGGTAGTGAGGTGGGGTGGGGGGCTGGGAGGCAGGAGCTGTGTGTACGTGCTTGCTCATGTACCCAGCAAACGTGCCTTACACAGCTCGGACAGTGTATGAACCACATGTAGCATGTGAGAACATGCTAACAAACATATCCATACCCATTTCATTCTAGAGGATTACTTTATTTCATAGGTTCATGAGATCCACACAAAACCCTGGCTTACCTGTTAACATTTACTTTTGTGTTTAGAAAAATGTTCATTTGGAAAATCATGAGATGTAGCAATTCATGTAATAAATAAATATCTATTGTGAGTGCCAACTGTATTCTAGGCTGTTTTTTTTTTTTTTTCTGCAGTGACTATTTTAGTAATTAAAAACAAACAAACAAAAAAAACCAAGATAAGACATAGTTCCGGGTTCCCTTTCTCATGTCTGTAGAATGGGGCTAGATAGACCCTGGCAGCTTGGGACTGTGATAACCACTGAAGTAGAGGTTCTTACAGTTCGTCTCTGGTACCCAACGCAAGGAAGAACTAACACCTGGAAAAGCCACGGCATGTTATGTTTGGAATCAGTTTAAGAATGGGGGGATTTGTTTACACAGGTATAGTAGATCTCGGCACAGGGCAGGTGAGTGGACTAGCTGGATAACCCTGAGATACCGGGTCACTTAAACAACACCAAGCATATGCGTTTGGTTAGTGGTCTTTGACGTGACATCTGGAAAAGTGACAGCGTAGTCAGCCTTATCATTTGGCATGCTGGGAAGAAACGAAAGCAGTGCTAGTCTGGCAGGATGGTGGCGGGAAGCCTGCCCGGGTGACCTTCCCAGCTGTTGGGCCCTCAAGGTTTCTATTGTGCTACCTTGAGGGGCACCCGGGCTGGGCTGAAAGAGCAGTATGAGGAGGGTGGGGGCACCTGAGGTCTCTGAGACCCTGTTTCTCAGTGGTACATTTTTCTGCCCTATATTCTTGTCTCCCCACTGAAGATAGGAGCAAAGTCTTGAGAACCTCTTCGCTCCACCCGTGGCTCCTCGGAGACAGGACACTGTGGGAAAATTGTGGTGGCAACCCCCTTCCTTTCACACCAGAGTTGTTATTTTTACAAACTCATAAGATCATGTGCTTAAATCCTCCCCTGTGCGCTTGAGAAGTGACTGTGATTCACTGTTGTTAGAGGCCGGCTGTTACTTACGAGGACGGAGCGTGTGAGGGGTTTTGTACGCTGTGTTGAAGGGTTTTTATCTTAGGAAGCACTGTTGGAGGCTTTTCTGGGAGAGAAGTGTCCTAACGGGTAGAAGGATACTGGTGTGGTGATTTCCATTCCCATCCCGATACAGACGCACAGCGACTGTGTTTAATTGAGCAGTGAGCAGGAGAACTTGAGAAATTAAGCTTGTCACTTCCATGGGTTCATAGAAATGCTAGCCAGTAATATTTCTTGTAGTAAAGTTTTGCTGTTTATCTTCATGTTAGTCTCAATTGATTTAATAAAAAAAATTCCCAGAGTATTACATACTTTAAAAAATCGCCTTCAGTTTGCTCATTATTGTATCATATCCCAGCTTTTTCTCATTTTGGACACTGTGGGTAGCTGACTTTGCCCCCACAAAGACAGTTTAGGTATTTGTCAACTTTTTTTTATCTCATGGCACACTTGAACTTAATAAACTTCCACGGTACACTTACACTATGTTGATCAAAAAGGTAAAAAAAAGAATATACTTACTATGTCTTAAATTTCTTTTGAAAATAGTTTAATGGTCTTCAAAAATTTTTGAGGCATGCCTAAAATCCTCTTACAGCACCCTGGTTGAAAATCACTGGTTTAGAAAGGCATTTCACATGCTTTGGCTCAGTCATGAAGTTTCTGGGGCTGCAGCTGCTACTGTCGGTGTGGGTCTGGAGGACTCGAAGTAATACCGAGTTTCTGCCAGAATAGAGGTGGCCACCAGAATAGAGGTGATGTTCCTTACTGCCACACACCAAGGCTTTTTCCTTATAGGGTACTGATTGTTGAGAGATGACCTCAGCCTTTGATGGCTCTTGTTTTTACAGTAGATACATCTGTGATAATTACTTAAATATTTGCCCAATAAGTATTG